GTGTGGCCGGGGGGTCCTGCACAGACTGGGGGAGCAGACCCTGGCTCCTCTACCACTGACAGCCTCTGTGAAAAGCGAACAGCATTCATCCATCTTCCTCTTGGGGTTGCCAGGGTAATGAACACCGGTGGAACTCTCTGGAGCCACAACCCACCATTAGGAAACATAATTACTGGGTGTAAAGCATGCCAGGATTTTGGTTTTGGTTTTCTTATGCTGGCAAATGAATAATGCTTATCCAAATCATACAGAAACTCCTCCGTTGCCTGAGGGATCTGTTTCACACAGAAAAAGCAAAGTGGTTTTGGGCTCTTGGGCTGCTTCGGAGGTGTTTGGAAAGAGAGCAAGGAAGGCTTTGCAGCCAGAATTGATCCCTGGTGAGGGTGAGGTGTCCACCGGGACCAGAGCCTTTGTGTGTTGGACCAACATAGCAAACTGAGATCCTCCCTCTGAAAAGGTCCAGTAGCTCTCTGTGCCAACTTACTACAGCTGGAGTTACCTTGCAAGTGCTGAGAGAGACACTTTGGACTGGACAGAGGCCAGCATGGAAAGGCTGGGGATAATCCAAATAACTCGTATGTGGAGATTTGCACAGGAAGAAGATAAGATTTGTGTAAGCATGGAGACCTTTTGACACAGCTGTCTGTACAGATAAAGGTGCTTATTTTCAAGGGCAACAATTGCATGGGCAAAGGATGCTTACTTTTTGTCATATCTTATTGCACATCCAGCTCCTAGAAGTTCACTCCTTACTACACAGGTAGTTCTGCATGCATTGGATGTCAAAGTACAGACATCTGTGACTCCTCAGCAGGAGCTGAACAAACCATTTTTCTTTTCCATTCCCTTTGTGTTTTGGTGGTGGAAGTTTTCAGGTGATAAAGATCAAGTTTACTGGGGTTGTTTAGTCTGGAGAAGAGGAGGCTGAGGGGAGCCCTTATCGCTCTGTACAACTACCTGAAAGGAGGTTGTAGTGAGGTGGGGGTCAGTCTCTTCTCCCAAGTAACAAGTGATAGGACAAGAGGAAACGGCCTCAAGTTGCACCAGGGGAGGTTTAGTTTGGATATTAGGAAAAACTTCTTCACCGAAAGGGCAGTCAGGCACTGGAACAGGCTGCCCAGGGAAGTGGTTGAGTCCCCATCCCTGGAGGTATTTAATAGACGGGTAGATGTGGTGCTTGAGGACATGGTTTAGTGGTGGACTTTGCAGTGCTAGGTTTATGGTTGGACTTGATGATCTTGAGGGTCTTTTCCAACCTAAACAATTCTATGATTCTAAGTTCAGAGGTGTCCTGCCAGGGCTGTCTCAGGGAAGTAGCATGAGAAGGAGACTTTTCGCTGCACTCTGACAGTCCAAGGCAGATTTTGGAGCCTGCAGCTCACGTGGGCTCTTCCCTCACTGATCCCCATGAGGGAATAGAGTAGGAGGAGGGACACTGCATATAGACCTCCATCAAGGGCTGGCCACAAACAGCATCCAGCATCCGAATGTAGCATCCAGCATCCAACTCTCTAGCAGCCCTTACTGTAACTGGGAATGTGCTGGCTGCATCTCCAGGATGTCTGGATGGTTCTTATTTGGATGATAGCACTCAGCCAGGGCCTCTTGCTTTAACGGACAGGCAATGTTCATAAAGGAGGGCACCAGGCAGTGGGAGTAAACAGCATAAGGATTAGGAAAGTAGGGGGAAAAAAAGGCTGTTTTGGGACTGTGAGAATAAAGGAAGGGACCGAAGGTTTAGATTTGTGCTGAAAAACATATTCTCTGTCCTGTCCTGTGTTTTTTTGATGATAGTGCTGTTCAGCTGCAACAGCCATGTCTGCACCCCTCTCTCTGCACCTGCGCACTGTACTGCAAAACCTGTGCTTTATGCATTTGGCTTCTCTTGGATGTGGCTTTGGAAAAGCTCAGAGATGAGTAGGCAAAGTTTTTATAAGGGCATTGCAGTTGCTGGGGGACAGCCCAGACACTGCTTTTTGGGGGTTTGCTGAGGCAGACTGAGAGAAGGGCTCACACCAGGCAGGCCACAGCTCCATGCACAGATTGTGGTCTGCATATATGAGAGAGATAAGAGCAGTGTCTCTGGGGAACCGGGGATTTTGGTGATGTCTGAAACGGAGGAGGGAGAGCAGATGCATGAGATAAAATTTGGATCCAGGCAGAGCAGCCAGTAAAGATCTGAGTCAAAACAGGAAAGGCCAGAGCAGCAGTTTAGAAGCTGGAGAGCATACTGACTTCTTTGTCTTGGAGGGAGATGTCACCCTGGATAAACGTTGGTGCAATCCAAGGAACAGGATACACTCTCCAAGCCCTAAGTGGTTTGTGAGGCAGAGACCTCAAGAGAAGCTTTGTCCTTCTACAGATTTCAGTGTAAAAAGTGTTCAGCTGTGCAAAGAACTGATATTTCCACCCTCTGACCACATTAAAAAAGTGAAATACAATTTACTTTCAGGCGAGAGCCTGAAATGTCTTGAATAAGTCTTTTCCTGCTGGAGAGTGTTTACTTTTTTTTTTTAATTTTTTTCCCAGTTCCACTTTAGTCACTAAAAAAATACTGAAACTTTGGCTGTTTTCAAACTGAAAGTATATGTGTTGAAAGGAAAAGTCAATCCAGAATTTCCTTCCTTGTTTTTTGCCAGAATAAGTTACCAAAATTAGACTCGAGTTTGGCAAATAGCTATGTGCTGCCCAAACTACATTTTTAGTCAACAAATTGCACACCAGGAAAAGAAAGGCAACAAGAATTTGCCCACTCTCCTTTGATCCAGCTTGGGCACTGCCTCTGGGCAGTCTGTGGTGGTGCTCCCATGGCTCACGTCCCTGGCTTCAGGTGCAGATGCCCTTACCACAGCTGTGTGAGTGATCCCAGTCAAGCCTGGGACGTTGGTGTGGGTGTTTGGGGTTTGTCTCCCTTGTACCCAGCCCAGACCAGAGTGTCTGGTTTGGTGTGATGGTCACCAATGAGGAATAATCCAGTTAGCCATTCAGTTTTTCAGAGGAGGGTCATTCTCACTTCATCTCCTGACCATGGTCACCTTTGAGTCTTCCTGTCTTTGGGAGTTCATTAGTATTGCAGAAAAAGTAGCAAAGAAGCTCAGTCCACCACAGCAATAACACCGCTTTTAATGCTCCTTTCTCTCTTCCTTTTTCCACGTACCAGGTCTTCGGCTTGTCTTCTGTGGCACAAGTGGTATTAGGAAAAGGAGACTTTGGGCAGCAGCTGAGCATCAATTTGGGATTTGGCATTGGTGTTACCTTGGGCATCCATGCGGCTGGAGGAATCTCTGGTGAGTAGGACACTTGAGCATAGGACGTCTCCATGTCCCATGAAGGCCACGCACATGGCAGGAGTGGGCTGAGGAGGGGAGGGTGATGGCCTGGCAAGGCAGAGCAGTGCCCTCACCAGAAAAAAAGGCAGTCCTAGGGTCCCCAGGCAAGAAAAGCAGAGCAGGTTTGGTGACCATAATGAGGGTCAGCCTCGTGACCCAGTGATCACAGCCAAGTCTGCAGCGGGGGAGGCAGGCAAGGTCAGGAGAAGCAGGGGACAAGGCAGGCGCAGGATACCTACAGTATGCTGACCCCAAACACGTGTCCTGAGCTGAGACAGGGGCAAGTGGAACAGGGAGCGAGGCAGAGGTTCAGCCATCCTCTCCTGTTGTGGTCAGCAGAGCCAGGTTTCAGCAGTGCCCCTGTTAGGCGCTTGGGATCCATCATGGCCCAAGGAGACAAGGAGCTCTGAAAACATGCTGCCAATCTGACCCATGGGGAAGTAAATAATTTATTGCAAAGGAGAGCTTACTGCTGATGTTGCAACAAGGAATGGTATGCAAATTTTCACCTTATCATCCACACCCATGTGCACACAGCCCACGCGAACTCAGGAGGTGGCGTTTCAGGGCAATGGGGTGGTATCTCACACATGACAGAGCATTACCTTTGCCTTGTGCAATTTCTGCATTCATTTGCACCAGGAGAAGAGATTAAGGGCTCTAGTAGGCAGAAAATTAAAGCAAGTCCTTGTTCTTGAACTGTTGGAGCAGAGAGATGTCCAAGGCTGGGGCTGGCTTGGAAAGGAAAGTTTTTCCATGTGAGCGGTCAGCTCTTGGTCTCCCTGTCCTTTTGGAGCTGGTGGAGACATCCTGGGGAAAGAGGGCTGAGATATGCCTGTAGTCCCTGCAGTCTCAGCTGACATTTGAGATGGAGCTGATCCACTGAGGGCTGGGAGGTGGGAGGAAGGGTGTCAGCTCAGACAGGAACAGGCTGGATTTCTGCATTCATTTGCACCAGGAGAAGAGATTAAGGGCTCTAGTAGGCAGAAAATTAAAGCAAGTCCTTGTTCTTGAACTGTTGGAGCAGAGAGATGTCCAAGGCTGGGGCTGGCTTGGAAAGGAAAGTTTTTCCATGTGAGCGGTCAGCTCTTGGTCTCCCTGTCCTTTTGGAGCTGATGGAGACATCCTGGGGTAAGTGGGTTAAGGAAAGTAGGTCCCTGCAGTCCCAGCTGACATCTGAGATGAACCTGATCTGCTGAGGACTGGGAGGTGAGATGAAGGGTCTCAGCTCAGCCAGCAAGAGGCTGGCTCTGGAGCCAGCTTCACAGCTTCTTGGCAGTGTGATTTGACTTTATTTGTGTCACAAGATGTTTCTAGTGATCTCTGAAATGGCTGGTCATGCCTGCAAAGGATCAGAGGATGGAAGAAAAAGGGGTCTCCCTCCATTTCAGTTGTGGCTGTGGGACTATAGCAGATGGTACATGCACATTCACTGCATTCTGTCCTGTACTTTGGTGAGATGACATGTGTCCGGCTCTTACCCCTTTCTGAGGCTGAAGTAGGAAAAGGCCACTAAGATTGGGGTAAGTTTACACCTACTAGGCAGGAAAAAGCAAATACTTCCTTTGGACTTGTGGGGAGATGAAGCCTGCAGAAAAAATGTGGTTTGCACTGAGGGCACCAAACCTGGATCCTCTTAAGTCTTTCTGCAAAAGCACCATTGTGATACCAACGTTCTCCACAGAAATTGTCCCCTCAAACCAGGGAAAACTGGTCTTGCACTGTATGAAAGCCACGTACTAGAAGACATAAGGAAATGCAGTCCAAGATTACAAACTCTGTGAGGGAAGGACAGGGTCTGCTTCACACTAATGGGAGCAAACATGGTTTGGCCAGGATTGACCATCCTCATACCCCTTCTCAATGCAGTGACATAAAAGGGCTAATTTGAGTCCCTGCCGACAGCCCTGTGTAGGATTTGCTTTGCAGACACGAAGATACGGGGCATCAGTGGCTGATTTTGCAGTTTGTTTCCCTGGTGTCCTGTGCCTTGCCTGCCAGATTGACTAAGGGCCTGCAGCTCCGATCAGCTGGGGTGTTCAGCTCTGCCAGGACGAGGCCCTCCTTGCCTATCAGATGTTTTCAGAAGGCCTTGCAATTGTTTGGGATAAGATTTGTCTCATCTACCTGTAGCCATATAAAAGGTGGGTGATGAGTTTAAGTTTTGGGCTCCCTTTAAGTTGAACAGAGAGAAATCATACAGCGGGAAACTCATGCCATGCCAAGAGAGGTGTCTCTGACAGGTGAGATGACTGAGGCAGCCTGTGGTCTACAGAGAGTAAAGCAGAGGTTGTCTAATTTTTAGAGGACTAAGGCTAGGAGGTCTCTGCCCTGAATCATTCAGCTGCCCAGGGAAAACGGGTCAGTTTTGAGTCTGTGCAGGAGTGACACCCTGCCCTGAAAGCGTCTTAGTGTTCTGCAGCACGGTCTGGGGTACCGTGGGGCATGCTCCAAAACAGCTGCATCAGGGTTAAGGCCACTGTCTTTTGCTGTGATTTTGCAGGAGCTCATCTGAACGCTGCCATCACCCTCACACACTGCGTCTTAGGAAACCTCCCCTGGAGAAAGTTCCCAGCTTACCTGATCGGCCAGTTCCTGGGCTCCTTTACGGCAGCAGCCACCGTCTTTGGCCTCTACTATGGTACGGTTGTGTCTTTATCACAGGGGTTGCTTATGGGCACCATTTCAGTCTTAACTCACAGTTCGTCAAAAATATTTCCTTTTACAGTACCCAGCATGATGTCTGGGTGAGGAGGGCGAGCACCTGTCTCGTGGGACAGACCTTCATATCTCAAGGCCAGAGCAGGGCCCAGATATCTCTGGGAAGGATGTGCAGTTCCTGGAGAACGCAGCTCCTTTTGCTCAGGGCATTCCCACCGCCAAAACCTGTCCTCAACTCAAGGCTAGTAGCTGTGTTTTGTCAGCATTTTGTTTCCAGGGTCTGCAAGGCCTTGAGTTAGATGGACTACCATGTATTAGGTACAGCTGGAGCTCTGGGGGACTCTGCTGGTCTGTGGGAAATGGGACAACTGTGGTTCTGAGTTGTGAGCAGAGGACCCACCACCCATTCGCTCCAGCGTGTCTCAGTCACCGAGGGGCAGAGAGATGGAGGCCTCCAGTGCATCCACAGCATCCAGCCTGCCCCAGGCTCCTGGAGCAGGGACAGGGAGCTGGTAGGCGTAAGGAAGCAACTGCAGACCAAAGTCTGCAGGTAACAGGTATCGGTCAGATTGTGCCTGCGAGGGGTGTGTCACCTCCATCATACCTCCCATTGCCTCTCTTCCCCTTGGTGTCCGTGCTGGCTGGAACGGGTGGACTTGCATTCATGGGATGAACTCTGTGCTAACTCCCATAATTCCCATTTCTCCTAGATGCTCTGTACGACTACACCAAGGGGAACTTTACAGTGACGGGCCCAACTGCCACGGCATCGATCTTCTCCACTTACCCTGCTCCCTATGTATCCTTGCCAGGGGCCTTCTTCACAGAGGTCAGTGGGGATTGCTGTGGTGTGCTCAGAGGAGGTGGGTGGTAACAGGTCCTGGTCTGCTACAGGGGACTCACAGCCCTACATGGGCAGACACAATCACAACCTCTACTCCAAAGAGCCTCCTGTCCAGGCAGGTGCCTGACAAGTAGAAGCCAATGCACCTTGGTGGCTGAGCAAGCCTAAAGGGTAATGCCTGCTGGCTGCTCTGCAGCTTGGTCCGAGTGCCCTCCAGGCATCTTCCCTGCAGGCAGCCGAAGCAGTGGGAATTGAGAAGCTAAGCTATATGAGGAATGATCTCCTTTGGGCTCTGGGCAGTTCCCTGAACTGTTCTGCTTTTTTGGATCCTACATCTGCTCCACGCTCCCAGGCAGCTCTGCTGGCTGCTCCTCACTGGCACAGGGAGCCTGGGACTGTCTTCACATGGACACAGCCTGTCTGGATTGAACCTCTAGGGTTTGAACAGTCCAATTTAGACTGCATACAGCTGATTTGCAGCATACAACACAACGCCCAGATGCCCAGAAATAGGAAGGGGATGTTTCGGGGGACATGGAGCACTGGGATGCTGGAGAAGGAAGATTCACTTCCAATTCAAATCTGACGAAGCCTGTGCTTTTGTCTCTGAGCTGGGCATGATGAGGAAGATGGTGAGAGCTGGAGAGCCTACAGGTGGGGACCTGATCACTCAGCCTCCTGTGGAGCATGCAGTGTCCTTGCTGCACAAGAAAGTAAATGACAGTGACACTGCATTGCCAAGAGCTGCAGAGTTTCTGCTTTTGCTGGCATCTCTGCAAGCAGTCCAAGGCTCTCCAGCTGCATTATCTCAAGCAGAAAGAGACAGGAGTCATCACCTCTATCCAAACCACAGTTCCTAATATCTTGGGCACTGCAGATCTACAAATGCCAGCTATGTACTGTTGCAGATGGGAGATTGTGTTTCCCAGATGAGAATCTGGTATCTGCTTTTAGTCCTGAAAGGGCTAATGCAACAGGCTATAGAAAACATCACTTCCTCTAGGGAGGATCAGATTTGTCTCGTTAGCAGTTTGTTATGGCTCTGCCTCTGTTAGACAAAATGTATGTAAAATAATCCATGTACCTAACTTGAAAGGTGGAGGGGGAGAACAGCGCTGAGAAGTTTGTATTAGTCCTAGAGCATTTTTGATGATGAGGTGGAGACTTTTTTGTTGGGAAATGAGTCAAGACTTTTCTTCAGTCTACCTGTGAGGAGGCAATAACATTGGGGTGCTCCCTGACCTGATCAGACCAGGAATCCCACCTGCTCTTCCGTTCTGGGAAGTCTCTTCCTCTCTGGTGAGCAGGATCCTTCTGCCTTACCCATTCTCTCTCCTGACCTGCTGCCCCTTTCCTGCTCCTGCAGTTTACGGCAACAGTGATGCTGCTCCTGGGCATTCTGATCATCCACGACGAGAAAAACAACGGAGCCCTGAAAGGCACGCAGGCCCTGCTCACGGGTATCCTGGTCCTGGGCATCGGCCTGGGGATGGGGATGAACACAGGCTATGCCATAAACCCTTCCCGGGACCTGCCCCCCAGGGTCTTCACGGCAATTGCTGGCTGGGGAATGGACGTCTTCACGTGAGTGACCCATTTTGCTTTTACATTGCTCAGCTTGCAAGGAGAGAAGATAAGCCCAAGATAAAACGGTCATGAAGCCTTTTTCTCTGGGACAAATGATGGTATCACTGCAGAGTGCGTTCTCCATTCTCAGAGAGAAGGGTTGGGTATAGAGGAGCCCCACGCATTATGTACACAAAATTTGGGGTACACTAAATTCTTCAGTATGGGATTCATCTTGACATTCAGATACCTCAATTTGGGCACCAAACCAGCTACCTGTTAGCTGGAGATCTAGCTGGTTATTGCAGTGTTTGGAGAGTCAGAGAGTGATTCGGCTCACCTGAAAGCAGGTACTTACAGCTGGATTGCTGTATAGCTCTCCTAAATTTAGATATCTGAATCTGGAGGTGAAACCCTGCTTTTCCCTACCTAGTATGATGGCGCCATGCTAGGGGTCTTCCCATGGTGAGGGCATTAGCAGAGTCTCTTGTCCCGGCTGCCCATTTTCATTAAATTTCCAGAAAATATCTTTGAGAGCTTAGTAGAGGAGGTGCAGATGTTATTGGAAATGGGGAGGGAAAAGGGGTGTGTGTCTGTCACACTCATCAGGATCACACAGACTATTTCTGTAGGAGGACAAGAAATCTGCAAACAGTGCAGAGCCACTTTCCCAGGCCGATGAGGAAAACGACCCTCCCTCCAGGAATTATGCTGGTGGATAGAGAATTTGTCTAAGAAGTCAGTTGTAGGGCCCGGTATGTGAAGCAGGCTATACACCTCTGCTCACACAGCTCACTCCTGCCCCAGCAGACTTGGCTCAGCTCACCCCGCGCCACGTGGCGGCAGGGCAGGGGTTCATCTGGCTCACCGGCTGCCTCTTCTGTGTTTCATTTTAGGGCTGGACATCACTGGTGGTGGGTCCCACTCATAGCTCCGACTCTGGGAAGTCTTGCTGGTGTTTTAATCTACAAACTCTTCATTGATTTTCACAACCAACCTGTCCTGGAAAGTCAAAATGAGAAAGGACAGCCAGTGGTGGAGACTTCTACATTGTGATGGCCACGTGCTCCAAGGAAAGGGCCTGACAGCAAAGCCTATGTGGATGTATGGACTGACAGCCAAAGGGTAACCAAGGGGATAAGGGCATGTGCAATGGTGCTGCCAGAGCACAAGAAATTATTCAATCTCCCTGTGCAAAAATCTACAAAAAAAAATATCATCACATTCTGGAGAAAAGCAAAGCAGAGCTGCAAGACTCCAGATACCTGGAGTCAGATACATGGAGTTCATAGAAATCAAAATACAGGATCCAACAGTGGCAGAAACAACTTAATTAACTTAATTAAAGAAATTTTGATCTGGAATATTCTTTGGTAAGAGGTGGATACTACACTGATGGATCGTGGGCCTAGGCTTGCTTCCATTTGCTAATCTGCCACCCTAACAAACACAGTTTGGCAGAGCAGAGCAGAGAAGAGCAAGGACGGTCTGAAATAGAACCCTGAACCTGATTTTTTTTTCATGCTTGGTTTTGTGTTTTGCTTTTTAATCTAAACATTCAGGAAGCACCAAAAAATTAGTAAACTAAACAACAGGGTCTTCTGAATCATGGCACAGCTCTGCTGGAACAGGCTGGCGTCATGGAACCACGTGTGTTACTGGCAGGCTAGACTTTAACTACCACCATATGAAAGGATTCAGACAGCTTCTGTGCAGCATCCCCAAATGCTCAAACAAAAAAACCCACCCTTTTCTCCACTCTGAATGCACGAGAAATGTGGGAAGAGGCTGCCCTGCTCCTGCAGGAATTCTGCCACCTCCATCTGAATGAGGAAGTGGGCCTGCAACAGCCTTACAAGTTTGAGGTACCACCGGATTAAAAGTAAAACAGTATCAGAAGCTGCCTGTTTCCAGGGCGGTGACAACAGTCTTAATTTTTCCAGAAAGTGCTTAAGCACGTATGGTATGTATGTCAAGCATGTGACGGCAGTCCCAGGGCTGGGTACCATGAACACACAACACAGGGATCTCCAAGAGTAGAAAGTGACAGAACATCACTACCGCACAGAATTCCAGAAAATGGCGTTTACTGGCTTTAATGATCATTCACATCTCACTATTAAAATGATTACTAATGTATTACTGTGGCATGGCGTGGGGTGGTAGGTACTGACATCCCTGCTTCCTCATTGGAGCTGACCTCCTATTAGGTCAGCAGCTACAGCAGACCTTCACCCGGCACAAGACACACATCGGCTTAAGAGGGCTGAAGAGCCTTAGAGGATTTTCTGTCATTTGAGGGTGGCAGAGGGCAGCTGCCAGGCAGTGCAGCAACTGCACTTGTGGGTGGGCCCTGGGCAGTGCTGGAAGCCAGCACAGCATGCCAGAGCTGGGGCCGATGGCTGCAGAGATTTTGAACAGTGAGTGCAGGACACAAGTGGAACAGCTGTCACAGAGCTGAATCTTTTGGTCTATTTGAACTAAACTGGGAACTTCAGAGTAGCACAAGATGGGATTAGCTAAAAGATGCTGTAACCCATCCCTTCTCAGTGATTTTCCACTGCATTAAAAAAAAACCCAAACAGTCCAGCCTCCTCCCTGCTCTTACCATACCTTGTGCATGTGCTCCCAAAAGCATCTTCAAATACCCAAATCACTCTGGAGGAAAATATTAAAATCTTTATTAAAATACTATTAAGCACTTACAGGGTGGCTTTGTCCTTCTGAAGGCCATACAAATACTTGTGAAAGCCTCACAACACCCCTGTGAGGTAGGTTTGCCTTATGTAATTATGTGACTGTTTCATAAATAAAAGATGATGCTGTTGAAATAATCAATGCTTATTTGAAGATGGTGACTTTGATTTCCCTGCTTAAGCACAAAATGTGTTGGTTGCTACCATGTGTTTCCAGCATATCTAAGAAGACAGAACAGCATAGAAAAGTAATGGAAACAATCAGATAAAACTGAAAACCAGCAGTGAATGGGTTAAAGCGCAGTTCTAACCTGAAAACTTACAGTATAGAAAACAGCTTCAGGGGCTTCTAAGGCTGTAGGATCTCAGTGGCCCCTGGTCAGATCCTGCCCAACTGAAAAGTGACAAAGGCTGTTTGAATGGTCAGCTTTGCAAATGAATGTGTGACAAACCAAGGGGTCCTCCTGGCTTATACGACTCTTACTCTTAACACTACTTACCCGCTTTGGCTCAGCAGTTCCCACAAGAGGAGAAAGCAGAGGCAATGAGGGATGTTGCAGCTTCTGGCTGCCTTCAGGCTTATCGGGAAGGACATCACACCTACGTCACTACCTGACAAGATAGAGCACAAAGGCCAAAAAGTGGTCTGGGCTGTAGAGCAAGTGACAAGGCCAATGCAGAGACATGGAAGCCCCAGGTCCCTTTGTATCATGAACCTCAGACCAAAAGTTGGAAGGAGCACAGGGAAGTGCGGAGTTTGATTCTCTCTGAAGCAGAAGATATTTCTTTGTTCAGTGGGTTCCAGCCTGCTCCCATAGCATGCAAGGTCAGGACAGGTTTCTTTCAAAGGAGATGGCAGAAATATCTTCGTACGCTGTATTTCAGCATGGCTCTATTAAAGTAACGGTGACTTACATTTGCTTTCATTTCACTGCTGTAGTTACACAGGAACAAAAGCTTCCCTACAGAGCAGTGACATCAAGGGCTTCTTCATGCCCTCTGAAAAGTACATGCTGCAAGTAGCAGAAGGGAACAAAATCAACGTCTCAAGTTTTTTTCTCAGAATCTCCAGGAACTACATCCCTCCCATGTCAAAGTACATCGTGGTTATATTTCATGCAAATACTGCGAAGTATTTTCCATGGGCACATCTATCCATGCACAAGAACTTAGTCTGAACCCCTGAGGCTCTGCATCAGAGAACATCAAAGCTTATTGCAAATGCTGTCCAGGGGCAGATCTGGGGGTCTCACTTCCTTGAAGAATTCCCAGCTAGTGAGGATGTCTTGGAGGACGTCAGGCTTGTGTGACTCTTTTGGGAGCCCGCTGCCTGGGAGGGTTGTTTCTTTTTGATCACTGGAGTTTTGTTCTTGCTTTTGAATACCTTGTTGGGGTCCAGCTTGTTCACAAAGGAATCAGCTTCTTCAGAGAGGAGAGCTGTGTTGATGGTTATGGGTTTATACATGTTAAACCATTGCTGAAAGGCAGGATGGTGGGGAAGGAAGAGGTTAAAATCAAACTGCAATTAGACATTCCCACCCTGCTCCCCCTCACCCCTGAGATCTGATTTTAATCATATACCACTTATCAGTTTGCAGTTTACAGGACTGTGCAGAGTGCCTTATGATAAGGACACCCAAGGTACAGCTACAACTACAGTCCTGGAACTGCCCCACATTCCAGACAGGGAAGAGGAGAACCAGACACAAACCTAACACTACCTTTCCTGCAGTGTCACTCCTATCAGGAGCAACTCCTGATTTAAACCACAGGAGGAAAAGCAAAGGGAGGGGATGAAACTAAACCACATTTATTTACATTTGGAGAAGCAGAAAAGATTAAAAAAACCTTGGAATTTAAAAGTGCTTATAAATTGGAACCAAACTAGTTGAACTTCTCAAAATATAGCCCCCCCCCTTCTTCACATGTACAACAATGCAGGTTTTTTAACTCTTTACACAAAGGATTTTGTGTTTGTTTCTCTTTGGCCTCATTTTACACCTAGAAGTGACTACGATGATTTTTTTTTTGGTTCCCGGATGCCACCACAATGTTATGCCCTGCAATTATTATCTCTTAGTGTTTTTCCTATCAGTTTTCCATTGACAAAGTCAGGAAATAAAAGTGTAGGGGTTATGGTATTACAAATCCCACAGAAACCATCAGCAAAGTGTTGAACAAGATAAACAAAAGATCAATATAGAAATGTAGATGGCAATCTATTCATGTACTGCTTAATGGAAAACAGCTTTAATATACCACCCTTGAAGACCTTTCAAATGATAATGGTTAACACACTAGAAGGATTTTAACTAACAGAGGCTGCAAATGATTAGGGAATACATGAATGATTTCACTAAGGTTTGTGAATATACTGAACATAATAAAATATTCTAGCAGGAAAGTTACAGAAAGGCAGAGCACAAGTATATGCTAGAGTATCATGTACACAGCCTTGACTGATAAAGTACAGCACAGTATAACAGGGAAGACACCAGAAATACAAAGAGCCAAATTCTACAGCCATTGATAGATGGGAAGTTGGCAGTGATTTTAGTGAGTAGTTCTGATGTATGCCCAGGGCTGAGGCAGGACCAAGGAATGTCATGCTGGTAAGACAGCTGTCATGTCTGGGTGAAGTGCAGGACACTCACTGAGACCCGCCAGGCCTTGCCAACATGCACAGGCATTGCACAGGCTTATGTGCTATGTTCGGTAGTATGGTCAGATCCATTCCCCAACCTCTCACAAGGTGGAAGCAGGGTTAGGGCTGAAGGTCCAGTCAGGCACAGAGGAATGGCAAGAGCCTCTAATAGCAGAGTTAGGGCAGAGCAGAATAGCAATTTTAATAATAATAAGGGGCTGGAATGGTCACGAGGCTGTACCTGGAGCTCTCCGAACTACTTCTAGGACTGCTGGCATTTAAATTGCCCCTTTTTGGGTATTATTTTTATCGAGGCATCCCTTCATGACTGAGGAGGATGCAAAGGAATTAATATTCTTGGTAAAGCTCAAGCTTATAGTCTTCCTCTGGGCTTCTGTCTAATGTGTAGCTGGATTTTCCTCTCCACACAGAGAGCAGTAGGCTCTTGTTCAGTGCTATGCCGAGAAAACTGATCTTGACAAATCTTACATAGCTGTGGGGATGAACGGCTTTACATGTCCTCACTTGCCAGCAGTCAAGGAAGTGGAGGTTGGCTTCAGAGTCAAGAAAGCGAAGAAATAATTGGGGTTCCACCACCTGCTGTTAGAAGTCAAAGGCAGAGCCCAACTTGGGTGAGAAAAGCAGGGTTAGCACAATGTTAGTGAATTCACTAACACAAACAAATGACTGTTAACACGCTATAGGGGAAAGACTCA